ACTCTCTAGGACCCTGTAGCAGCCTTGTAGTGCCAAACCTCAGGCTGCACCCTAAACCTGCTCATCAGTCCTTCAGTGGAGCTGAGACTTAGGGGAGGCAAAATGTCTGCCAATTCACTGCCAACCCCAGGGTACGTAGGTATCAGGATACCAAACAGTGTTGAGCATCTGGCCTTTGTGCTTCTCTCTCAGAAGGCAGATACATCACAGCTGCATTCAGAATCTCTAACATTTGGAGCCTCTTTAAAACTGGGTGAGCCTGCCTTTCTCAGCTGCCAGATGCAGGGACAGAGCTATCAGGCTCAGACACAGGGAAAGGGGGCACAGTGCGCTCCCTAAGGCACTGGTCCTCAAAATTGGTTATACATTGCAATCACCTGGGGAATTTTTTAAAATACTGATGCCTGGATTCTATCACTTGAAACTGATTTAATTGATATGAGATGTGGACTGGACATCAGGATGTGTAAAAGTGCCTCATATGATTCAGATATGTAACGAAGTATGAGAACCACTGATCTATAGAATGAAACTGCCCCCAGAGTTATTTTCTCCAGGAAGGAAAACTCTGCTTCATTTGCCTTTTCTCGAAGGTCATATTTTTTATTATTTTTATTAAAAAAAAAAAGTCTATATTGATTTCAGAGAGAGGAAAGGAGGGGGGGAGAGAGAGATAGAAACATCAGTGATGAGAGTCATTGATCAGCTGCCTCCTGCATTCCCCCTGCTGGGGATCAAGCCTGTAACCCCGGCATGTGCCCTGACTGGGAATCAAACCTTGATCTCCTGGATCATAAGTTGATGTTCAACCACTGAACCACACTGGCTGGGCAAAGGTCATATTTTTTAAAACTTTAAGTGTAGCTGGGGCTGGCTTTCAGTTTCTTCTGGATTCCCAGGTCCAGAGCTGTTTCCATGTCATCATTAGAGTATGATCATTATTCTGCAATATTTTACTTATAATTAAATTATTTAGTTGATTAAAATAAAATTACCTTTTTTATTTACACTTGAATTAGAGAGGAGCCTAGCATAGTGAAAAGGGCTAGGTTTTAGACACAGACAGACTTGGGTTTCAATTGTAGTTCTGGCCTTGCTTTGTATGATCTTTGATGGTGACAACTTCTTGGACCCTCAGTCTCTCTAACTATGGAATGGGGACAATGTCTACCTCTCAGAGGTAAGGTTTGATGATTAAATGAGATAACTCACATAAAGTACCTGGCACGGGGAATGGTGGTAAAAGAATAATTTGTCCCATACATCCCAGGGACCAGAAGTGCTCACTCTTATAGCAGATTGACTGAACATCCTTGGATTTCAGAGCCACTCTACCATGCCCCTGGTGCCAGCAACTTCTTCACTCTGGAAGCAGAAGCCCCGCCTCCTCTGGGATGGTCGTGTGGCCTTTAGACCTTTCCTCAGAATTGATGTGCCCATGTGTGAAACCGAAGCTCAAGACTGTTGCTTGAATAATTCAAATAGAAAAAAAGCAATATATCTAAATGATATTTTATGTAACGTGATTTAAATATGCATTACTGACTAAATTAATGTTAAATATTATAAGTAGATGTTTGATAACTTTAGACACATAACACAGTCCTAAGAGTTCATGTATTCCAGTTGTCTTAAAAAATTTTTGTTTTGGTATCCTCATTGAAAAATGGGGAATTCTCTTTAAAAAAGAAAGCTCAAGGTTGACATAGCCTGATGGGGTTAGGGACCTTCTGAGGGAAGATGATTTCTGGACAAAGTGTTGTGACACAGGTAACACATGTGCTCTGTGTTGACTTGGCCCCACAGTCTCCCAGGGAGCTGCTCGCACCCCTGCCATGGTTCTCCATCCTTGCTGCCTGCTGCAGTAGCCCCTCTTCAGGTGGCCGAGTCCACAAGCTTGTCTTCTGACTTGCTGACTTGGTAGCCAGGTCACTGTTTGGTCATCTGTGCCTTCCCATCTTGCCCAGGGGAATATTTCTGAAGCCTGGCTGCAGTAGGCAAAGGAAGAGGGTTGGATAATCCATACTCCCCTGATATTCCCATTCCCTCATTTTAAGGATGTAGAAAGTAGGGTTCGGAGAAAGGAGCTCACTTATGTAAGGTTATACAGAAAGTGACCGCTCTGGGCCTGGGGCCCACATCTCCCGGTTCCCAGCCGTTCCCAGCACCACACTTCTGCTCTGGTTGACCTGGCTCTGTCTTCCTGGGCTGGCTGCCTTCTGTCACCCTGAAAGCTTCCAGGCTGCTGCTTACCACTTTTAGCGGCTGTGAGTGCAAGGAGTACACGTGGAATACGCAGAACCAAAGAAACGTAATTGTTCAGTTTGCTAAAAATCATGCAATATTTTTTAGTATCAAATGTGGATAGTTTTTGTATGCAGACATGTGAACAGATAGTGAGAATGCAATGTGATATTTGTTATAGCAGAAGGATGTCCAGAGTGCTGTGGGGACTCAGAAGAGGGAATAATTAACTTATCCTGAGGGAAATCAACCATGCTTCTCAAAGGCAGAACATTTGGAAGAGGTTTGAGAGGACAAATAGGAGTTTATCTGAAAAGGAGGGGAGCATGAAAGAGTATTGCAGGGAGAGGGAACAGCACTTTTATAAACAGTTATGCAAAGGTGTGGTGTATTGGGGAGATACCAGAGATATTTGGCGTGGCAAGGACATAGGGTATGTGGCAGATGAAGCTAGAGATGCTACTAGAGAGAGAGAAGGACAACTTGGAAAGGGCCTGAGAACCAAGTTGAGGATTTGGGCCTTTAAGGCCAAGGAAGGCAGAGGCTATGTAATGAGACCGTCTCTAATCTATTCAGTTATTTCTCTTTTTTCATGATGCTAATGAAGCTGTGTTAGTATGACTAATGTGTGGGCCTCTGGTAACGGAGTTGGAAGCCTTGTGGAAGTTTTCAACAATTAGAGCAGCATTTCTGACCTAGGGATAAATGAGTAGGGTGAGAGAAGTGGAAGGGAGGAAGTCACCTGATTCCCCTGGATGAGGCCCCTGTGGAGAGCATCCTTCTGCACTCCTGGCCACTGTTCTTGATACGCAAGAGACTAGGAGATTCCAGATCTAGTTCTGTCCATGGCTCTGTGAAGGCTGGGGGAGGTTTTTAAATTTGGGTGGGGGGATGAAAGGAGGAAGAGTATTAAACTATTATTTTTCATGATTTTGTGGAGTTTAATTTTTCCAGGCTACATCAGTTAGTTTTTGCTTCATAATAAACCACTTGAAAATTTGTGGTTAAAATAACAACTGAACTTTATGATTCTACAGGTTGGCATCGGGGCTGGGATTTTTGCCTGGGTTGAGCTTGGCTTGGCTGATCTCAGCTGTGCTCACTCCTGTGTCTGGGTCCAGCTGCTGGGTCAGTTGGAGCTAACTGGCTTATGGTGGCTTCAAGTGGGACACCTGAGACAAACGAGGCTCTCTCCTGCATGGTCTCTTATCTTCCAGCACTCTAACCTGAGGTGGTTCACATGGCAATCTTAGGGAGCAAGAGCAGAACCATACAAAGTCACCTGAGGTTTATCCTTGGAACTTGTTCAGTGTCAGTTTTGCTGCATTCTGTTGGCCAAAGCAGATCATGAGGCCAGCCTAGCTTCAAAGGTTGGGGAATAGACTTGGTCTTTTAATGGTTAGGATTGCAAGGGCATGGACACACAGAGGGGACGAGTTTGTGGGCCATTTTTTAAATGTACCTCTCAGACTGTTTGATTTTCATTATCTGGGAGAGTTGATAATTGAGGTCATTATCATGAATGGGACATGAGAAATCTTTTGAATTCAAAGTCAACATTCATGGATGATCATGTGCTTAATTTAATTCCCACAGCAACTCTTGTTTTCTCTTTCTGTTTTATATATGAAGAAACTGGGCCACAGAGGAGTTAAGTGAATTTAAGTGACTTGCCAACCAAGGTCACTGGGTGGTAAACCTGGTGTTTGTACTTACATTTGTCTGACTACAAGTCTAGAGCAACTGCCATTGTATCCTTTTAATGATACGAGGCTGCGGTGGTTACTGCAGCACTCACTGCCTAGGCAGCGCCTTTCCATGTCATTTTCATCCTTGGGCATGGGCACCTAGTCCTGCTCAGGAGGCTCATTTTCTTGCATATGGTGAGCTGATTGCTCTTGGGGTGGGTCTGAAAGAGCACCATAGTCTCCAGGGGGGCATTCTGATGCCCCTTATATAGTTCAGGAGCCCACTATGCTGAGGAATGTGTTGGAGATGGTTGCATTTCTTTGGGAAGAGGGGGTTAGGACAAGATGTTCATGTTCACAGGTGAAACATGCATATATGTGATGCACCCAACATGGACTAGCTGGAGAAGGCCCAACAAAAGCTCTCTAAGACCCAGGGGTAGACCGCTTGGTCTTGGATATTAAAAAAAAAAAAGTACCTCCTAGATGAGCAGGCAGGAAGGCCTTGCCTTTCTCTGGCTAGTGCCTTTTGGAAGCTCTAGCTTTGAGATCTTAAAAGTAATTCTGCTACCCGATAACCCTAGTGGTTGGAGTTGTGTCTAAGCAAAACTGGTTCCCTAGAGCTTAGCCATTAATGGGATCTGGACTCTCAGGGCTGTGGAAAGAGGAGTGGGAGCAGCAGAAGGCACCCAATTATCAGAACCAGAGAAGGGCTGGGCCTGTGGTAGCATTGCTCGTGGGAGGGAAAGGAAGGTAGGGCCCAGCAAAGATAAGGGTGTAAAGAGGAGTGTAGAGCAGGCGCCTAATGGAATGGTCATGCTCAGAGTACCTAATGGAAAGTGCAGGCTATGGTGTCAACTATAGTTCATTTTGGCACATACCTTGGTGTTATGTGTTAGAAAGCCTCATGTCTAGGCCTTATGTATAATCTACCATGTTGCCCTGACTCTCTTATTTTTTTCTGTTATCCCAGAGCTCATCTCCTGTCCAGGGTGTAAGCGAGCATATCCTACCAGGGATGTGACCGAACATTTTTTTCTGCAGTGTTTTTCTCCTGAGCAATTCAAGATGGCTAGGGTAAGTCAGAACAAGCAAAGAAGCAGCTGATCCTTTTCAGAAATCGGTGGGGCCCCGTCCATAAGTCTGTCTATTTATTCATCATTCCATCAAGCTTGTTACCCCACTATCAGTCTGCCTAATCATCCATTTATCTATCCTTCTATGCATCTATCCAGAAAAGAATGAAAATGTTTGGGTTGGGGAAAGCAAAATGGGAATTTTTTCTCTCTCTTATAGCTCTTGCTGAAAAATATCAGCATTGAGCTTTTATTTCCTTTTATCTCTCCCTGAGTTGAAACTCATGAACCAGCCTGGGTTAAATGGGTTCACCAGTTTTGCCTGTATTTAACAACTGTTACTTTTAACCTGAGTTTCTGAAAGTTCACATTACTTACTGACTGGTTCTCCTGTTCCTTTCTCCACTAAGGTATCCTTGCCACAACATTTTATTCATTTGTCAATTTACTTACTTGCTCCTATATCTAATTCTTACTGAATATCTTACATATGCTAGGCCCTGTGCTGGGTGCTAGGCAGACAGAGACCTATGTTCTCTACCCTCAAGGAATTCATAGTTTAATTAGTAAAAGTTGTATTTCTTCTCCCCCCACCTCCCCTTCCCTCCCCCCCAGCTGTGGATTTCTCAGATAGCCAGTGTGAGGAGAAAGCTGTTAGAATCTACATCAGCTTAGTGGCCTATATTATTCAATAACAGACCGGCTAACTTCTTCCAAATCTCTTCTCCACATGTTCTACATCAGACCTGCAAGGTATCTACTGACCAAGTGAATGAACATTTGGACTAGGAGAGGACTGGGTACCCTTGGACCCAGCAAGCCTTAGTTGTGGGAACATAACTCTGAGAGTTGGTCTGTGCTTGGTCGTTCCTGGCTGTATACGGTCATTTTTCTCTGTACCCCACACCAACTGTTTCCTCCTCTGTGCAGGCACGTTGAACTTTCTGCTCCTGTTCCCATTTTCCTCCCTTGTCTGTCTGGTAAACTTCTACTTATCATTCCATATTCAACCCAAATGTCACCTCTTTATGAGACCTTTCCTGGCCTCTGCTAGACTGAGCCCCTGGAAACTTCCCTTTGCTTCCTTAGCACTTGGTGCATTTTTATCACAGCATTACTCCTTGAATGTCTGCGTGCCTTATTCATTTGGGGATCCTCATCTTCAGCACAGTACTGTGCTAATAGCCCCTGAGGCCACTGTTCTTTTAGTCACAAAGGTTGCTTTTCTTCACAAGCCCCCACATGTCACTCCCAGGCAGCTCTCCAGAATGTACTGCACTCCAAACTAGTGGAGGAGCAACTCTGCAGGACCCCAGTCCCTAGAGCCTTTACCACTCACAGAGGCAGGCTCAAATAAGGGTATTGTCAGTAACTTCAGAACTCTCTGCTTCCAGAACTGCTCTGAGTGCAAGGAGAAGAGGGCGGCACACATCCTCTGTACTTACTGCAACCGCTGGCTGTGCAGCTCCTGCACTGAGGAGCACCGGCATGGCCCTGCCCCTGGGGGGCCACTCTTCCCCCGGGCCCAGAAGGGATCTCCAGGTATCACTTCTCACTCTCCCCACCAGCTTGCATGCCCTTAAACAGTGCTGAACCCTAAAATCCTGGGAGAATAGCTCTCTGACTTTGCTTCCCAGCTGGCGGTGGGAGGAGGGGTGGGCTCAGAGCCCTTCCCAAAGGAAGCTGTCTCCTCCAGATTCACAGTCACAGTGTAAGTCTGTCTGGGCTCTCCCTGTTGGGGGTGAGTGTGGGTGAGATGTGTGGTGAGGGGTAGTTTTGAATTATCATGGAAGCTAGCTGAGTTCCTTACTTTCACCTCTATTTACAACAGTCATGCCTCACTTCTCTTTAGTTACTTCATTAAACAGCCAGTATCAGAGCTTGTCCATTTCTATCTAATACCCTTTGTTTTAAATGCCAATCTTTGAAAGTCTTTTCGCCAGGACTTTAAACCATGGGAGGGGTTTTACCTCTGTCCTACCCACAGGAACCAGATTTAATGATCCATGTGATCTGACCTGGAGCCTGGTGAGGCTGGGTAGCTGGTTTCAGCCCTGCCATACAGAATCCTGGTTAATGAAGAGGTTTAGGTGGAATTTTAGAGGAGTCATTATTCTGCAGGCGATCCATGTGCTACAGCAGTAACAAGCACTTTCCTCAGCCTCTGGCAGGTGGTGGGATGCCTGGGGCTGGATAATGTGTAATTTTTGGCCAGCTGGGCAAATCCAGCTAGGTTAAACCTGCATTCCTCCTTGTGTTCCTGGAACCTCTGTGGCCCAACAGGAGGCCTCTTCTGTTTACACCACCTATTCTTAAAGCTCCGTGTCTCCCCTGTTTCCATAGAGGGCCCCATTGAGGGCCCAGGGCTGCCCAGTGGAGCTTAACTGAGAGGTCTTTCTGAGCAACAGAAGCCTGCTTTCTCCATCTTGTCTGGCAGGAGTAAGTGGTGGTTCTGGGGACTTCGCCTTGTACTGTCCTCTACACACACAGGAAGTGCTGAAGCTGTTTTGCGAGACCTGTGATGTGCTCACATGCCATAGCTGCCTCATGGTGGAACACAAAGAACACAGGTGGGGCTGGATGGCTGTTCTAAGGGGATTGGGAGGGCTCTGGACTTCTACCTGTGGGAGTGTTGGGCTCCCAGGGCATCAAAATTCTTTCCCTGCCTAAGCCAACCTTCAGCCGCTGGGATGAAGTTTTCTCTGCTCCTGTTGTGGGGCTTCTTTCCAGAAGGACTGCAGGGCCAAGAGTGACTTTTCTTAGATGTAATCCCAGCTTCCATTGGCCTGGCTGAGACATGCACTGTGGGGATTCTTGCTTGGCTGGCATGCTCAGAATAAGACTCAGCTTTCTTCAGCTTTTTCTCTGCCTCCTCCTCTAGGTGCAGACACCTTGAAGAAGTACTACAAAATCAAAGGATGCTTCTGGAAAGTGTGACTACACAGGTGGCTCATAAGAAATCCAGTCTACAGACATCTGCAAAGCAAATTGAGGACAGGTAGCACAGGCTAGCCCTTGCCAGCTCAGGAAATGCTCTGTTCCCCCACATCCTGGACATGCCATTAGGCAGATGTGGGCATATGTCCCAGAAGGCTTTAGAGGTCTCAGGGCCAGTGAAAGGGCTTTGGGTCATCACTTAGTGAATGGAACCAAACTAGGTTAGGATGATCAGAGTGAGTCTGGGCCCAAGCATGTGCCTTTTGAAAGTGTTCATGAAATAGCCAGAGGTCAGTGCTTGAGAACAAGGACACACAGTAGGTAACGGGAAGAGAGAGCTGTTTAGCTAAGGGTACAACAAGTAGGTGGTAATCTGCCCTTTATCACCCCTTTCCCAGTGTTTTCTGTAGAGATCTACAAATGATATGAAATCATTGGCATTTTACAGAGGAAGAGGAATTACTAGGTACTGAGAGTTTATCAGGTGGTAGGCATTGGGTTGGGCATCATACATGCATTATTTCAATTTTTATGATTCTTTGAGTCAGATTATCTCCATTTTTTCTCATGAGGAGACTGAAGTTCAGAGAGGTTAGGTGATTTGAGTTCACACAGCTAGTCAGTGATTGGGCTGAGTTTGGAAGCCAGGTCTGTGTGACTTCAAAGCCCACATTCTCTCTCTCTCTTTTTTTAACAGCTTTACTGAGATATAATTTACATACCATAATATTTCCCTTCTAAAATGTACAATTCTGTATTTTGTAGTATATTCATAGAGTTGTGCAACCATTATTATTATCTACTTTTAGAACATTTAATCACCCCAAAAAGAAACCCCATACACATTAGCAATCATTCCCCATTCCCCTGACAACCCCAGTTCTTGGCAACCGCTAATCTACTTTCTGTTTTTGCCCATGCTCTTGTTACTGCATGACACTCTTTAGTGGAGCATTCTCCTTTTTAGACAACAGGTTACATGAAATTATACCCATACTTCCTCATTCTGTCCTGCCTCTAGTCTGTGTGAACTTTTAAGCTGCTTGGTTGACCTGGGTGTGGACCTGGGGTTTACCCAGGTTGAATTATGGGCCATTGGACCACTTAGATCAATTGGGCTGGGTTGTACAAAGGGTGGGATGGTGAAGGAAGTTTCTTGTTTCTTTATATTTGGTGCCTTCTGGGCCCTGATATCAACAGGCAGCCTGCAAATTGTTGGCCCTTATGTTTGCTGACTCTAGGCCCTCATAGGCCTGGAGGGAAGGGCTTACCATGCTATGTCCCATCTTGTTTACAGGATTTTTGAGGTGAAGCATCAGCACAGGAAAGTGGAAAACCAGATCAAAATGGCTAAGATGGTTCTGATGAATGAGCTGAACAAACAGGCCAATGGGCTCATAGAAGAGTTGGAGGTATATGTGGACAGATGGACCAGGTGGACGGGTTCTGTGCTCTTCCCTAGGTCAGAAACCAGGCACATATCAAACTAGGTCCAGGGCTCAGAGCTGCTTGGGCTGGAAATTATGTGCTCTTTCTTGCTCCCTGTAACTTAAAATGTCCAGTTTAGTTTTGGGAGAGTGGCTTATTAAGGACTGGAGAGTTAGTTCTAACTCCCATCAGCACCGTGGCTCTAAGGCAACTGCCTTCCTGGACTATATGCAGCGTTATAACCTTGGAAGAGAGTCATGAAACAACCCACCTTCTTCATCAAGTTATGCCCAAGAGATGTAGATAGTCATTCATTTTCTCATTCATCACCTATCCATATTTGCAGTATAAAATCTACCCATTCTTTTCTCCCTCCCTTCCTTCACCCCTCAGCAGCCCATGGCAGTGTTCTGTTCTGCTGTCCTCTTGGGTGCAGTCTCATCTGATTCCATCAGTATTCACACTGATACACACAGCCTACTAGATTTCCGAAGCAGGTAGACTGCAGTCCAAGAATAGGATCAGGGACTCTGTCTTCTCTCTCTGTACCCAGGGCATTACTAATGAGAGAAAGCAGAAGCTGGAGCAGCAGTTGCAGAGCATCATGGTCCTCAACCGTCAGTTTGAGCATGTGCAGAATTTCATCAATTGGGCTGTATGCAGCAAAACCAGCATCCCTTTCCTTTTCAGCAAAGAGCTGGTAAGAAGAACTCTAACTCCTCCATTACTGCTTTTGAGTTAATAAGTGAATGCCATTCTTTACTAACCCCACAGTACAAAGAACCCAGGTGTTGAAACTGTCCTGCCTTCCTCTAGGCACCTCAGCTCGGAAATTTCTGTAGTGATTTGTCTTAGGTCATGGATTTAGAAATTATCCTGGACATTAGCAGTGTGCTGGTCATCCCATACAAAGTTATTTGGGTTTAAATTGGGGCCTAAGAGGAAAGACATTGAGGATGATGTTGAAGTGTTGGGCTTGGGAGGAGGGTGTTGCCCAGGAGAAGGATTTTGAGAGAAGTTGGTGGGGTTTATATTTAGATGAGGAGGCAGGAGAAGGATATGAAGATACTAGGGTTCAAGGAAATGAGCTTGAATTTGAGGTGCCTGTAGGGCATCTAAATGGAGATATTCAAAATCTGTACTGATGGATGAGTCTGGAAGTCAGAAGGAAAGTCAGAGTTCCAGATGTGGTAGTCACTGGTATATCCTTGGAAGTGTGTGTGAAGAAAAGAGAAGAGCAAATCTGGAACCCAGGGAAATGCCATGATTTTCAGCAGAGAAGAGAGGAAAAAGACGAGTGAAGGGAAGTGAGAACCCAGGTGTTGAAACTGTCCTGCCTTCCTCTGAGGAGAAATAGGAGAGTGCGGTGCACAGAAATTAACAGTGTTTTAAATTCCAAGTTGTCAATGGTATCGTTGCTCCCTAGGTGAAACAGGATGAGTAGTGAAGAGACACCTCGATGTCTGGGAATAAGGAGGTCCCTGGTGATCTTTTGAAAGAAATTCTTTTAAAGTCGAAGGGTTAGAAGCTAGAATGAGGGGACTGAGGATGGGAGGTGAAGGAGAGACAGAAGCGAAAAGAAGGGAATTAAGAAGGTAGCTTGAAAAGGAGACAGACTTTTTTTTAACATGGAAAAAAATTGCATGAATTTATTTCGGAGAAGTTGAAAATAGAAGAGTGAGCATACTGAGCAGGCAGAAGGCAGCAGGATCTAGAGTGAACTGGTTTACCTGAAGCATAAAAGGCATTCCCTTCCTGTGAGGTGGAGGACAGAAAGGCATCAGTACAGTGTACTTAAGTTTGGAGGCAGGAGGGATACAAGTGTGGGGGAGTTTGCCCTTTATGGTCTCTTTTGTCCTTGGAGAAGTTGAAGGTAATAATAAGAGGGTTAGGCACTGGGTAAGTGTCATTGAGGAGAGATGTAAAGATTTTTAAAAAGTCACTGAGGATAGTGGAAGAGGAAGCTGGCAAGAACTGAAGTGACAAGAAAAAGAACTGAGGTTAGCCATCACTGAAGCGACCCCAGGTAACATGGCTTTGGAAAGGCTAAATTGCCCTAAGGTTAGGCACTGTTTGTGGGGAGGGAATTACTGGTATTGTTACTGATAATTAGTGATATTGTTACTGAAAATGATGGAAAGCTGAGACGGCCCTATGGATGATGGGGCAGGCTTACAGAACTCAACAAGGTCTTACTCTGAAAGAGTAAGAACTAGTTATGATCAGGTAATAGGTTATTGGAATTTACAGTCTCATAGATTAAATGGTTCTAGATGACAAAAGGGATGACTGAACTAAAAAGAGAGGCGAAGTTGACTGACATTTAAGAGATCAAGGAAGTAAGAGGCCAAGATGTCGATTGGGATATTAGTTAACTAGATGATAGCAGGACAAGTTGAACATTTGCCAGAGTTCTAGATAAAAGGGAGAGTGACAGGAAGTAGATGAGAGTGATGAGGGAGGAAGAGGTCAGTTGATTAGGATGGAAGGGGATTTTACATGTGGGTGGAAGGACAGCAATGGGGAGCTCAGAGAATGTCTGCTCCCCCGTAGGCTTATCCATTGAGACATGATAGAATGAATGGGGCACTCTTGAGAGGGCCGCCGGGCAACTGATATCCTGACAGGAATTATAAATTATTTGAGGCATGGAAGAAATAAGAATGTAGAGGTTCCAGAAGCCTCAGTAAGAGGAAGGGGATCAGTGGGGAATGGGGGAAGTTCCAGGTGGGTAGGGGTGGTGAGGAGGCAGGAGAAGGATATTAAGATACTAACGTTCAAGGAAATGAGCATATGGCAAAGGACCTGAGGCTAAAGAGCCATGGCTTTGAGCCCTTCAACCTGTCCTTCAACCTGTCCAAAGAGTGAGGGAGAGGGAGTTGTCATTCTGGAGCAAGATGACCAAATAAATGTCTTTGGTGCTGTTGTCAGATTGTGTTTCAGATGCAGCGATTGCTGGAGACAAATTGTAACACAGATCCTGGATCCCCTTGGAGTATCAGATTCACCTGGGAGCCTAACTTCTGGACTAAGCAGCTGGCTTCCCTCGGTGAGCCAGGGCCTATGCTGTGGGCTTTTACATAATTGCTAAGAATGAATATAGAGCCTCTGCTTAGCTTACTGGGTAGGTCAGCATATGCCCAAGAGAAAGCACTCCCTGAGACTGCCAGAGGTCATGGAGTCATTCAGCAAACCTTTTTTGGGGGTGGGGGGTATGGATGAGAGAATGGACAGTTTAAATACCAGTGGCTATACAGGATTTTTTAACAGGACCATTTGAAATCTGAGCTTCCCATTCTGCAGAAATGTCCCTGTTATCTTGGTTTCATTGCTGGAGAGGAGACAAGATAGTGGCCCTGCTCTACAGAATGTTGTGTGGTTGTATGACAGTACAGGTGAACCTGTGTGTCTGGTTGTACAAGGATGTACACATGTGGGCACAAACAGGTATCTCAGCAACAGAGAGGGAGAGCGGGGAGAGGGAGGAGGGAGAGAGAGAAAAGAGAAAAAGAGAAGAGAGAGAGAAAAAAGAAAAAGAGAAGAGAGTGAGGAGACAGAGAGAGCAGAGAGAGGAGAGAAAGTCAGTGTTGCACACACCCTTTGGAGTTGAGGTGTAAGCAGATAACTCATGGTCATATGCATTTTTCTTTCCTGCTGCAATAATTTGCTGACATTCAGTCTTTAGGCAGAATATAGACGACTTGTAGCTGTGTCTGTGTTGACAACCTAATGATAGGTTTGTTGCCTTCATTTGGGCTATTAATCTCACTGAAAGTTTTTTGAACTTGACAGAATGATGACTGATATTTAGGATTTTATTTTGCTGCCATCTCCCCTTTGATTTAACTCAACAGAGTTTTGATGGGCCCTTGCTCTGGGTCAAGTCTTATTCTGCGCATCAAGAGACCAAAGGTGAATAAAACACCTCCTGCCCTCAAGTTGCTCAGTCTTCCCCTAAGTAAGCCTCATCAAAGCTGAGCCAAAGGAGCCTTTAGACTGAGCTAGCAATAGATATCATCCACTCATGCACGAGGCCCAGGGACCTCAGAGGACAGTGATGGTGCCTGGCGCTGAGCTGTGTTGGAGCTTCCCCCACTCTCCCACCCTATTCCCCAGCACAGAGTCCCCAGGCCTGTATTTGGAGACTTGCTCATTGTCCTGGGGATGACTCTCTCTTTGCTATTTTATAGCACATTCTCTCCCTCTCTCCAATGTTGATTTTTTTGGGGAAGTAGGTCTCAGTCTCTGTCGGGCTATTCTGTTAAAAAAGGATGGGTTCTCTTTGAGAGAGCCTGTGGTTTCTCTAGTAGGATACAGAGTCAGGACTGAACATCTGATAAAAGCACAGCTAATTTCTCAAATGTCCCAGGCTCCCAAAGCTGGCCCATACAGATTTAATTACTGGTCTTATTTAAGCCTGAGTCTTAGAGATCAGGGGTTAAATTTCTTAATCTCTGCCCACCTTTGGAAACCTTCTCTATTCTCAATTTCCAGGCTGTATAACCACAGAAGGTGGACAGCTGTCCCGGGCAGATACCCCTGCTTATGGAAGTTTACAGGGACCATCATCCTTCTATCAAAGCCACCAGTCTACAGCAGCTCAGCAAGAGACTCTTAGCCACCCCTCACACAAGTTCCATTCTCCAGCACTGTGTTCCTCATCTGTGTGCTGCTCCCACTGCTCCCCAGTCTCACCCTCCCTTAAAGGCCAGGTTCCCCAACCCAGCATACATCAAGCCCATAGCTATAGGCAGCCCTCTGAGATGGTGCCGCAACAGCTGGGGTCACTGCAGTGTTCCACCCTGCTGCCCAGGGAGAAAGAGCTGCCCTGCAATCCTCACCCACCAAAGCTGCTGCAGCCCTGGCTAGAAACCCAGCCCTCTGTGGAGCCGGAGAGCACATCTCAGCGTCTGGGGCATCAGCTGACTTCCCAGCAGGTGTGCATTGTCTCCCCACAGGATGTTCAGCCTGGGGCCCATCCCCAGCCCACCTTACAGACCCCTTCTATCCAAGTCCAGTTTGGCCATCACCAGAAGCTGAAGCTCAGCCACTTTCAGCAGCAGCCACAGCAGCAGCTGCCACCTCCACCACCTCTGCCACCTCCACCCCAGCAGCAGCCACCCCCCCTTCTACCTCCTTCCCAGCATCTGGCTTCTAGTCAGCATGAGACCCCTCCTGGGCCTGCCTGCTCCCAGAATGTGGACATAATGCACCACAAGTTTGAGCTGGAGGAAATGCAGAAGGACCTGGAGCTTCTCCTTCAGGCTCAACAGCCCAGCCTGCAGCTGAATCAGACCAAATCGCCTCAGCATCTTCAGCAAACTATTGTGGGGCAGATCAACTACATTGTGAGGCAGCCAGCACCCATCCAGTCCCAGAGCCAGGAGGACGCTGTGCAGGTGAGCTCAGGGTAGCTTGGAGCACATGTTCTCCCCATCCTAGGATCACTCAGGAACACGGCCTCCCCAATCACAGGGTAGCACAGGAACACAGTCTCTTCATCTTAGGGCAACCTTGAGCACAGCCCTCACATTTCAAGACTGCCCAGGGCGCCTGACCAGCATGGCTCAGTAGTTGAGCATCGACCTATGACCCAGTCATTGCTGGGTTGCAGGCTTGATCCTCAGTGGGGGTGTGTGCAGGAAGCAGCTGATCAATGACTCTCTTAATCATTGATGTCTCTCTCTCTCTCCCTCTCTCTCTCTCCCTCCCTCTCCCTCTCTCTCTCCCTTCCTCTCTCTGAAATCAATAAAGACATATTTAAAAAAAAAAGAATGCCCTGGGCTCCACCTCCCATCTCAGGAAAGCTCCCGAGAACATAGTATCTAGTTCCAACACAGAACTGGGCTCAGTACTCTCCAGAGTGGCCTAGCTTAGCCCTGTCCTCCTCTGTGACACCAGGACCCTTGTCCATGACTAGAACCTTCTGATCTGTGCTGGACTCCTGCCAGTGCCATGGAAGAGGGAGGCTGTCTCTTATCTTTGTAACCTCACTTTCCTCGCTGGGAACTTAACGAATCTCAGACAGGGGAAAGGGAGAACTTAAGGAACAGAGGGAGAGTATGCATTATATGACAGTTCAGAATTCTCTGTTGTGGTTTTATTATAAGACTTTTATTAGGATATAGTCTTAGGAAGAGTTGAGATAAGAGTAACTCTCTTTTTGAAAAAATTTTAAGCAGTTTACAGTGGTGATAATGGCAAGTGCAGGGTGGGCACTAACCCTTGTAAGAGCAACATCCTTACAACACTGCCTGCAGACCTGAAGCGTATTTCAAGCCTACTAAACTAGGTATGTTTTATATATGCCATATCATTTATCCTATCAACAATGCTGTTAGGTAGGCATTACCATCTGTATTTCATAGAATCAGAGGGTGAGGAGTTTGCCTTGAGATCATGAAACATTGAGTGGTGGAACCAAGTCTTGGATCCAGGTCTGTGGACTCTAATGTCACAGAAAAGGCCTTGCTCTCTCCCTCGGGAATGATAAGTGCTTCTCCTCTCTTTTCTCAGCTAAAAGCCAATGGAAGATGTGCGATTTGACCCCTGGGATCTTTGCTGCCTTCTACATCTTCATTCTTAACTCTTGCTTTTCTTTTTTCCAGAGCTTCCTGTTCCAGCCCCTTCCCTCTACTTCTCACTTTTTGCATAGCGGTGTCTCCTTTAGCTCTGTAATCACATTTATATCTTCAAAGCAGCTATATGGAATTTTACTTTATTGCAAAATATAAGGCCTCACATTTATGCTTAGTACTCACAACTTTAGGTGATGTTTCAATGTTTTCCTCTGAGGTTCAGTTTCTATGAGGGGATGTAGAATAATCCTCATGATGGCAGTAAAGGGTCTAGGGTTCATAGAGGACCACAAGCTAAATATAAGTCATAATTGTTATACTGCTAAGGCAAATATGACGGTTAGTTCAGAATTCTCTGTTGTGGTTTTATCCTAAGACTTTTATTAGGATGTAGTCTTAGGAAGAGTTGAGATAATATTTATCTCTCTTTCTGAAACATTTTTAAGCAGTTCACAGTGGTGATAATGGGATGTGCAGGGTGGGCACTAATGTTTCTGCAGCTGCTGCTACTGCTGCTGCTATTCTCTTCAGTGAAACCCACCCAAGTTTTTATTTTCTTCTCCAGGCTACAGATGAGCCCCCAGCATCTGAAGGCCCAAAGCCAGCTCTCTCTCTCGACAAGAATACTGCTGCTAACTTGCCCCAGTCATCTGGGGAAGAAACCCCTCACAGTGTCCCCTCACTCGACAGCACCACCCAGCACTCCTCTCCAAATGTGGTGAGAAAGGTACTAATGGAGCCTGCTTTTCCTAACCACGTGGGACCCACTGACAGCCAAGATCCCCGGGAGCTGGATGAGGAGGACTGGGCGGGGGTAGGGGTGTCCCTGTTCCATCCCTGGATGTTATACAGCCCTGACTCATGCCTTCTGTCCTAATGAGTCAGCAACATAAGTCCTCCTCACCCCCATTTCCACCCCCACATATATAGTTAAAATGGAACCAGCCAAGCTTCATTTAGAAAGGGGAAGAGCCAATTTATCGAACACTTACTCTGTGCCTAGAACTGTGTATGTGCTTCATAAGCATCTCAGCCCTCCCAGCAGTCCTGTGAGGTAGGCATCCCCATTTTATAGCTATGGAAACTGAGTTCCAGGGCTCTATAGCTAGTAGATGAATGGGCTGAGGTTTATTTTAAATGAAGTCTGTCAGAATCCAAAGCCTGAACTCTCCTCTCTGCACTGAAAATAAGGAAAATATTTTATGTGACTCCGCCACCCAACATTGGTTGGCTTTAGAATTAGAATCAATGGAATTTGTTGGGTAGTAGACTGCAGTATGTCCTGAGCATCTAGGGGCACTGAGATCTCTTGAAGATCAGCTGCTGGAGCCCTTACCCCTACCCTTTACCCCCATCCCTGTCATCCTCCTTGCTGGAACCTCAGTACTGTGTCATGCCCTCCACTCAACCCTCCCTGTATACCTTAGCCCTGTTCTTATTATCCTATTGCCTTCTCTGGTCTGGTGCCCTCAGCCCTCCTGTGCCTCCACTCAGCCTCATACCTGAAGCTCTGTCAGCTAGCTATTCTGTACCCTTCCAGCCTGCACCCTCAGCCCCAGTTCACAAGTTGTTCTGTGTACCCACCCCTCACCATGTTTCTCTAGCAGCTCCAGTGCCATATATGCTTAGGTCAGTCTATCTCAGTGATACTTGAGAAGAGAGTTTAGAAAAGTAAGGGGTGGCCAGAATGAAATGTTAACTTGGAAATCCCTGGTGACTCTTGAAGTCTGGGTAGGTCTCTGGTATTAGTGGCTTTTGGTTTATGCCTGTCCTGTCCTACCTGTCAAAATGCTTTGCCCTAGAGGCCATAGAAATGCTGTAAATAAGACCCTTTGAGGCTCTTAGGGATTTAATACTTGGGTCCTTAAATTCTTATACTTTGGCCAACTGCCTACTCATCCAAACATTTATTCAGTCAATATTCAAAAAGATATATGAATCTCCTAGTATGTGTTAAATATTTTTGCTAGGTGTGAGGCACACATTGGTGAATAGTTTCATGCTGGAGCTTACAGTCTAGAGGAAGTGATATTAAGCAACAACAATCAAGTATGATAAAGTGCAGTGATAGTCATTGTGGCATATAGAAGGAACACCTAACCCTTGGAGAAGGGACTGTTCAGAGAAGATTCCCAGAGGACAATTTTGATTTTGAGCTGAGATTTGAAGAAGTTAGGCTAGTGGAAGGGTGGGAGTGGGAGGGGGTGCTAGAATAAGTAGTCAAAGGGAATGACAAGTATGAAGCTCCAGAAGTGAGAGACAGCCTTGGGCACTTAGGAGTGTCAGATAATTTGGATTAGTAGGAACATGAGATGTACTGGGAAATGGGAGTGAAACCAGAGAGGTTGGAAATTAAGTTCTGGAGTTGGTATCCAGTCCTGTGGGTTGTGAGGAGTGAAAGAATTTCTAGCAAGGAGGGACCTGGTTTGAATTACATTTTAGGAAACTCACTTTAGCTGCAGTAAGGGAGACCAGAATAGTACAGAGGAGAAATAGGAGAGGTTGAATGAAATCAGTAATGATGGGACTAAAGAGGAAGCAAGGACTTCAAGAGATCAGATTACAGGAGCTTTTGGACTCAGAGTCTGATCAGTGATGGGAAGTGAGGGAAAGAAAGTCTTTTAGCTTAACACCTAGGTCTGTTTTGGCCTCTGATTTGCCATTCAGTGAGATGGGGGCATGAGATGAAGGCATATTCTGGGGGAGAAAAAAGTTAAGTTTTTGAATTGTTGATGTTCTTCTGTGGAAGCTACATTAGAAGATGACCAGAGGCAGCTAGCTGTAGATGCCAGGAGCTCAGAAGGAAGCACAGGAATTGCCAATGTTCAAGTGGTAGTGGAAGCCATGCAGAACATGTCACTGCTTGTTTAACAAGTCTCAGTTCTGTTCTTAGACGCAGGACAGAGGAAGGAAAGGAGGTGAGCCAGGTGCGAGCATGGAGTCTGTGCTATCTGAGTGGTGGGTGGCCTGCAGGGGCTGTCTGAGCAGCAAGGAGATGCTGCCCTTCTGGGTGGCTTCAGGTTGGTAGTGGGGTTAGTGAAGGTCCTAGGAACTCTAACTTTTCATTTTGAGCTGCCATGGCCCTTATTAACCTGGGCTCATGCAGAGGTTGAGAGGACAGGGGGCCTGGAATTTTTCAGATGTTTTATAGGCTGCTTTATGGATTGGACTCCCAGAAAAAGGAACCTCAGGGTTGCTATCCTGGTCCAGAGGATCCTTTGGGTCTACTTGACTGAGAGAGTAATAATTATACACAAAGCTACTTAAATAAGAAAAAGGGCTTTCTTTTTGAGGGAGTTCATTGCCTTGAGCCTGGAATTGGGCAGGGTGGAGGGTATGAAGCTTGAGGATACCTAATAACATTTTGAGCATCTTATCATTAAATGATAATACTTTGTATAGCATTTTGTACTTTTTCATAGATTTTTTTTACATGAATTGTTCCATTTTATCTCTGTTTATCCTAGACATACTATGAGGAAGCCACTTTCTTGCTCCCCTTTGAAAGATGTGGAAACTGAGACACAGAGAAGTTAAGTGGCCCATCTAGGAGTTATAAACTTGATTATTGGCAGTGTTAGGACCAGTGCAAAGGTTCCTGACTCAACCCTGTGTTCAATGACTAGATTAAATTACCTCTTTCTGTGCACTGCAGTGGGAGAGGTAGGACTCCATTCAGCCTCTCATATACTGGATTTTCCTGTCCTTACAATCTTTGAAGTAGCCTGAGGCCTTGCTGGGGAGAGTTCTTAGGAGCCATCCTAGTTTGGTCTTGGTTTTCTTTTTCTGGTAAAGATTGTTTAGCCTCCAGCCCACTCCTCAGTCTGTAGTGACCTGAGTGCCTGGGAAGTCAGAAGTCTATCTGAAGGTCACAGACCAAAGGAACCTATGGCACTGGCCACCTCTCTGCGTGTTGCCCAGGGACTCTTTCATGCTCTGAGCTGTTTACCGACTTTATATCACTGCAAGGAAGATTGTTGTTACAGCAGAGCAGCTGTGCACAAGTACCTAGGACTTGCTACTAAATGAGCTGATGCTGAAAGCAGATGTGAAAGTTCTAGAATGAATTTCCCAGTGGCTTAAGCTCTGCAATCTCAGGATCATTTTATCCTACTGCTTTCCCTGAATCCACTAGGATGTTTTTGAATGAAGTTTGACATTTGCCTGACACTAGCTGTTGCCTGTGCTTCCTCGTCTTGGTTTAGCCACTCTGAAGAAAAACCATGGTGTTACAGCTCTGCAACAGAGCCCTCTTACCTTCCAAGTGAAACAGGAAGACATTTTGGTGGCTCCATTTCATACTTCTGAACTAGTCGACTGCTGAAAAATACACCCCTTCCTTTACACAAAGCTCTCATGGAGTCAAGGCTGGAGGCAACACAGGGAGCCGTGTCTGAGCCCCACTTCACCTGCAAGAGGGATCTCTCTCCTGCTCATCCCAGATCTTTAACAGGACTTTGAGTCACTAGGATGTTGTTCATGGCCTGAGAGGAGTCTGAGATATATTTTCAGTAAATGTTACTGAAGCAGTAGGCATTCCTGTGGAAAGGTGTATGACTCATACAAATAGCATTTCTTACCATTATTAAAGCACTTTGATGCTTAAACTCTATATTTGATTCTGACAACTTGGTGAGATTCACATTAACCTGTGGAGGAAGAAATTAAAGCCCAGAGATGGGAAATGACATGCTCAAACTCATACTCTAAACCTTGGCATAAGTGAGGAAAGACTAGGCATCCCGTCTTCACAGTCTCCAAATCCACTGCTACAGGTCAGATCATGGGTTCTCAACCTCAGCAACTACCCTTTCCTCAGTGCCAAGCCCTGAGAGCAGCTGTTGCTCAGAATGTTCCTGAACAAAGTGCCTGGTGAGGCTTTGTTAGGGCGCACCCTGTGTTAGCATGTGTAGAACTATACAGAGATCCATTCTGTCCTACTCAGGAATCAAGTCAAACACTCCCCACGCCTGGGTCCCTGAATTTAACTCCCTCTAGGAAGCTTGTCTCTTTAGCTCTAGCCTGGTTTAATTCACAGACAAGACTCAAGCTCTTTGTTTAGGTCTCCTGGTCCATGAGAAAACAGGTTCTAGCCTGTAGGTCTTAAATTTCCTTACCCTGGCCTGGCCAAAGTACCTCTGGCCTATTTCTCCTTGAGTCCCTCCAAGTGTTTTGAGGGTTCCACTTATTCTGGCTTTCACTTCAGATTTACTGGAATCCATTGATTCCTTTCCTCTTCCTTCTACCTCAGACTCTGGGATCTCCTTTGCTTTTTCCATCTTTTGTGACCATCGGGTACTGGGCATTCTAGTTCTCTCTTCACCACCCATGAAGTTTTCTCCTTTGACTTTGGTCAGTTAGCATAAACCGGCATAGTTATAGCCACAGTAGTAGCCCTAAATCATACAGAGCACTCACTGTCAACAAGAGCAATGGCCTCATTGTAAAACTCAGCTGTGGCCCTGGCTGGTGGTGTTCAGTGGTTAGAGCGTCAGCCCATGCACTGAAGGGCTGCAGGTTTGATCCCCTGCACTGGTTTGGGTGCGTGTGGGAGGCAACCAATCAATGTGTCTCTCTCATATCAGTGTTTTTTCCCTC